CGTGCAAAAAAAAAACGTGTGCATTTCTTTCACGGCAGTCAAGATTAAATAAAAATCGATGAGGCACACAAAAGCCAACGAGACTGCGCCGCTTTCGACATCCCGCGAATTTATATCGCTAGCGCGAAAATTTACAGGCACACGACTATTCCAGCAAGCTGCATATTTTTTTATCCAATCTGGCCATTGTCCGCGCGTGATAACACCAAGAACATATCGATGCATCGATCTTTCATTCATCCGTTTATTACGTGATAAAAGCATGAAATATACAATGTGCATGAAGAAAAGTTCTTGGTTTTTATTTTGATATTTCTATGCTATTTTATAAAGACGCTTTAATTTTATCTAATAGTATTGTTAATCATTAGTGTTTGCTAATTGTGATCATCATTACTAATCATTCTAGTACAATGTTATTGTTATGTTTTTCAACATTTCCGTCACTTTATTCTTTTGAGTCGGTTGGTAAGCGGACATAAAAGCATTCCATTCATAGGAGATTTTTAGGAAACTCGTTACTTTATGTCAGCTTATCCGATTTCTACGCTTAGGACCATAAAGGCTCTTAACATTATGGGATCGTACTATTGTTGTCGTTCGCGTATGCCATTCGACGATGTAACCCGCTGCTACGCCACGGGATATTTTTCGTTAATGGCGTTAAAGGCTCACTTTATCATTCCCAACGTTTACCATTCTAATTCCAGAGCGTTACCAAGTCGTTATCAGACGGAAGAGATAAAGATAACTTGGCCAGCGCGATTGCAGGAATAGACGAGTCCCGGCAGACAATAGCGTCTTTTATGATCCATTTACACGATCGGAATCTTCGTTTAAAATGCCTTGCACTTTCTAGCATTGTCCAGTTCTATACTTTCCCCTAATTTATGATTGTCGGGCGTTAAAATAATGCAAATTTTAAGAGGAATTCATCCTGAATCATTTAACTATTTAAATATACGAGAAATGTGCTAAATAAATGTGCCACTAAAAATTCAATTGTGTCAAGAATTCATCATTAACTGTCACGACATTTTTGAATATCATGAATATCAATATACGTGTAATGGAATAATAATATGTAACAACGTTACAATTTCTTAATACTTTATATATAATATTATTGACTTAAGGATTTATGTATTGTAATAAATTCAATAAATTGCATTTTTAAGATCTATAATAACAAAATGTGAAAAGTAATTGTAAAGTAACAATTTGTTTCATAAATTTGATATAATATAGTCGAATAACTAAATTGACAAAGATACTTGCTTTAAATCATCTATGCTTTACTTGCACTTACTAAAAAGACTTTCTAACGTTCTAAAGTTCTAAATTGCTCCGTCTATAAGCCCATACTGCGTAATTACGTGGATATCAAAGTGCTGCTGAAAGTACTAATAACTACCTACAGTCAAACAAGACTAATTGACTTTGTAGGAGTTTATTCTCGTCAAAGAGTTTGACGAATTCGTTAAATTAATGTAAAAAATCACGAAAAACATATAGAAGATGGTATAAACTATTGTACAAGTATAATATAAAGGGAATGAAGAAAGTACATTTATTAGCGATATTGACAAAATTTTGAAAACTACAACCTTCATTAATATTTTATTCAATTCTTGTAATCTCTCTTTTTCATCTTTCTAATATGTTATTAGATGTCTATACTTTCTTTAGTTGTAAATATATAATTCAGACATTTACCAAACTAAAAATATTTAATCTTAGCGATGTTTACTATCAAGATGTAACACTTTACTAGAAGTTCAAAAAAGAATTAATATTTCATCTGAGAAGGCGAAACTAATCGTTCAAACACCATTACAATTACAAAACTTGTGTATATATATATATTTTTTTTTTCTGCTTTTCTATCGTACATGAATCTGATATCGAAGTAAGAAAGACATTTATATTCATGACCAAACAAGCATTGGTACTCCTTTTCTGCCATCAGCAATATTTACTGCCAGTAAACATGACAGAAATCTTTCATTCAATTCCTTGCTTTACTCGGCACGCGTTTCATTCTTCTTTTCATCCTTCTCGCCGTTTTTCTCTCGTTCCATTCTCCTCGTTCTTATTTTCATCTAACATCACGCGACAATCTCGTTCATGCCTATACCTGCAAGGATAAAAGAATCCCTCGCGACTGACGCGATTTTCGCGACATGAGAGACCCTAGTGCAACCGCGAGTGAAAAGCGCTTTGAACAGCGCATGATGAATCGTCGACAACGAAAATTCGTTGCATGGGTCGCAAAAAAGAAAATTGCAATCACATGAGAATAAAGTGACTTGAAATGCTTCAACATTCTATAGATCAATTAGATTTGAACGATTAATCGGGTAAGAGACAGAGTGTGTGTGTGTGTGTGTGTGTGTGTGTGTGTGTGTATGTGTGCGTGTGTGTGTGCGTGTGTGTATGTGTGTGTGTGTGTGTGAGAGAGAGAGAGAGAGAGAGAGAGAATTTATTTCAAATTTTGAGTTGAACATCTTCCTTATTTTTACTAATGTGAAATTCATATATATAATTTGAAATATTTTGACTTTTATTATATTTTATCATAATATAATGCTCAACATTCACATAACGATAAAATATCGATTTGCTTAAGTCATTCGCAAGTGTACTGAAAATTACATGGATTTCATAACTTATAATGAATTTATACCTAATTTCGCTATATACACATGTATACGTGTGTATGTGTGTGTGTGTGTGTGTGTGTGTGTGTGTGTGTGTGTGTGTGTGTGCGTGTGTGCGTGTGTGTCGAACCACTACCATCGAATTTAATTGGCATGCACATTAATACAGGTACATTAACAGAAGCTGCGATTAATTACCCGTCCGTGACGTGCAACGCAGTCCAAAGTATTCCCTGTACACTAATAAATTAAGTTCACACGCGGTAACACGAGGGACGCACAATTAAATAACGAGCAAAAATACAGCAGCATTACTTTTTCAAATGTATCATGCGTAAATCGCACGTTTCTTTTTTTCCATTGGAAATTTTTCCGCACTACGTGACACCGCTCGGTTGCGTTAACTAAATTCGAAATTAGTTGGCAGTTTCGTATTAATCGTGGTGTACCGCGTGCGCTCGCCTGACCACTGACGTGCTTGCTCTTCCATCACGTCGAACATATCGCAATGGTGTATCACTGTGTCGCGGATGTAATCACAGTATATGAACATGTAAATCCAAAACGATTTGCTACATCAGTAGCAAGATGTGCACAGTGAGAGAATTAGCGCGCAATTTTTTTACGAGTCTACTTTTTATAATACATCATACGCCGTATAATCTCCAAATTCTCATATATCTATCGCCTTTAATGCTGTAATTGAATATCTCGGATGATTTCCACCCAATGGAGCTCACGAAATGTTATAGCTTGTTTCAAAGAAATATGGCATGTCGGACTATGGATATGTTTAATGGTGCGATTAATATGTATACTTCACAATGAAGCGATGGATAATAATTTTCAGCGTATGAATAGAAATTAGAAGGCAGTCTTAATGTCTTAATTAATACTTCGATCTAAGTAGTGCATTTTTATTTCTGTCTTTTAGGGATTGTAATTTATAATTGAAAATTGCTATTGTAGACCGTTGCATATACCTTTTCGTTTTTAATCATAAATATTTTTATACAGAAAAGAATTTATACGCTTTAAAAAGATTTTTATGATAAAATTTATGTGTTATTAAAATTATATATATATATATATATATGATATTAACAACAGATATTTCAAATATGTTTGAAAAATCAGACAATCAGAGAAAACAAAGTCAAAATTAACATTTAGTGAAACAAAACTAATCAATCTAATAAATAACATAATATTAAGTATAACCAGTATATGTATATCCGAGCATAGTATCTCGCTGTATCTCATAATTACTGTATTTTAATATTACTGTCCAAAGTGGACTTACTACAATTGCGAAATATAATAATATACATATACACAAATTATTACTCATTTATTCATCTTTATGAGTATTTATTATGCACACTATAACGTAGTAGGTATATTAGATCCGACATGCAGAACGTTTGTTATAAGTGATATTATATATTATATAGAAATGCGACAGAGATATTTAGTCTCTTCTTAAAAAAATTTATTCTTTCATAAAATACTCCCATTGTTCCATCAAATAAATAATCCATTTTTAAACAATGACAAACATTCAAATTTGATTATATTAAAATTAAAATATTAATTTGAAATTTGTCAATAAATTTATAGATAAAAGAGGTAGCAATAATCCTAGAATACTATTATTGCATAATTATTATTATGACAATGAATTTTTAAATGTTTGACTTGCATATTTTAGTAGAGGCATATTATAGTTACGCAAGCGCTTATTATACAAATACATGATTCTTCAATCATGAGAAATATTGCATAAGCGACTAAAAAAAGGAAAATTTGCTAGGTTTAATTGTTAGAACCTTGTGGAGAGAGAACTACTAGATAAGGTAGACTACTTAGTAGTGCTGTTACTTTTAATTAGAGCAGCCAGCCGCTCTATTCGGAACGATTAGCGAAACAGCCAGAGACTTAGCAGTAATTTTTACTTATTACGAATGCCAAAAAAATCTTCAGGATACAACGTAAAAAGATCTCTTTTATTGGGATTTTTAAACGTTATCTGTTAATATAGAAACAATCCTCGTTACCATCATTTAAATCGTTTCCTCTTAAAATAATAATTATTATACAACCGATAAAATAATAAAGAAAAATATTTGAAAATAACACTCACCTTTCGGCTGTTCCCATCTTTGGGGTTCAGATCCGAGGCTACTGTCCCAAAAATGGTTGGCTGAAAAAGGAATTCATAATGTTTGTTAGTCCTCTAATTTCATAATAAGACATTTAAAGAAAATATGAATAGTACAGATGTTTATAACAACTAGAATATTCATGTGATTACTAATAATATTTTAGAAAATTAAAAAAGAATTAATATCAGAAAAATAATAATTGCTAGAAATATATTCGTAATAATGTATGAACTATTAATATAGTAACTAATAAAAAAATATATAAAATTCATGTTCAATTAATATACGTTTATGCAAAATTAAATCAGATAGTCATAATTAAAAATTTTGATAAAATAGTTACAGAATAGTAACAAAAATTAGTTCATAATGGCAATTACATGGTTAGCAATTACATAAATTATCAAAAATCGTTGATCTAGATTAAATTCTGTTTTTATTTATAATACTTTTATTTTAATAATTACATATCAATAATATCGAATAATTTCAGTTTTGTGCAAATCTTTATCTTCAGATTTTTTTTAATGAGCATGCAAATGTTAGTTAATAATTATGGTAGTCATTTAATTATATCCACACAACTATTTTAAATTTCTCATTAATCACTCACAAAATATTCTTTTAAAAATTTATAAATTCATGATTTATGTTTTATTCAATTTTTATATGCAGTCGTAATAAATTACAAGAATCTTGTAACTATTGTAGTGGGATAAGACATAGCTAACGGATAACTATCCGATACTGACGGTAAGTGTTGCAATTTGCATGAAATTGTCAGGACGTATTGCGATCATATAAAACTGCAAATTATAAAATCACGACATCTCATAAATTCAGGGATGAAGTCTCATTTAGTAGTTACAGATTGGCCATTAATTGGCTTCAACCGATGCATTGTAGCATCTAAACAGAATAAATAAAAAACGCAATACAATATATAATTAACTCATAAGACAAAGCGTAGATAATTGGACAAAAATATTAAATCTTCTATTTTTTAAAATGTCATTCGATGTAAATGATATTATAAGGAATATCGAAGAATTTTTTTATAACAAACTGTATTAATAATAATTTAATTTGTTCAAAAATTTACTCAAAAGTAGCGCAATTTTAAATTTCAAGATTTTTAAGAGATCCTATCCTTATTCATATTCTATCAAATATATATATAGTTATAAATCAAATATCATGAAATAACTCTTTCTTTCAAGTACTTTTTACGTAAGCAGAGAATTGGCATCACAATTTTTAATGCAATTTCTATAATTCCTACACAAATTTTTGAATAATTGATTAAATCACATATAAAAAAATGCGTGTCCCTTATTTTAATTTAAATTACAAAATATTAAAAGTTGAAAATATTAAAATCAAAGGAGAACACTTCTTTGTGTTTCCTTGTAGATGTAACTTGTATAAGATAAACTTGTACTAAAATTTAAATAGATTTTAATGCCATCTGTCAATTTTAAAAAATACTAAGACTAAATTAAGAAATTACTTTTTTATCCCTCCTTCCCCCCCCCCCGATTAAGGAAAAAAACTAAATTTAAATTTAATTTCTTCTCCATTAATTTCCTATTCGCAATTTCCTATTTTTATTATTTCTTGTAAATGAAGTATAATAATCAATAATTTCAATGTAATTTTGCTAAATCGAATCTAAATTCAAATCCGAATCTAAATTCAAAATTATTCATGTTTTTAAAGCAGAAAATTTGTATTTTTAAGCAGAATTTACGTTTTCAAAGTAAAGAATATAGTATATGCAGGCAATCAAGCTGTAAATTAAATTATATTTTAAATTATTTTTTGAAATGGATATTTAATCCTTATGGATGTATAAAAGTGTTTTCAGAGAAAATTATGTACCATTTTTTTTTTCTTTATGTTACTTCTAATTATATTTTTTTTTTCTTTAGGGTACAGCAGAAATAGTGCACGATATTTCCCTTCATCACCATATATCTATAAATATATAGGTACCCGTATGGATATTAGATTTTACACATATAAAATAATATAATATAAAATTAAGATTTTTAAGTTAAATAAGAAAATAATTTGTACTTTTAAAGAGAATTTGTAACTTAAAACAGAGAATTCATGTTTTTAAAACAAAAAATTTGTATTTTTTAACAAAATTTGTATTTTCAAAGTAAAAAATATAGTACATGTAGGCAATCAAGCTGCAAATTAGATTACATTTTAAATTATTTTTTGAAATAAATACTTAATTCTTATGGATGTATAATGGTGTTTTTAGAGAGAATCATTTTTTTTTCTTTCTTTATGTTACTTCCGATTTTTTTTTTTCTTTAGAGTACAGCAGAAATAGTGCACGATATTTCCCTTTATCACCATATAATTTATAAATATATAGTTACACATATGAATATCATATCGGGTTTACACATACATGAAGAAACTTAGAGTTTCATTCGTATAAGCGATTTAATTTCGTTGCAACGGGCGATGCATTAAAACTTGAAGAGAACGTCCACTAGTATCGTCGGTGGGGTGTAAAAACTGGCTTTATTTATCAAAGCTGTCGTCACGTTGACAGTTTTCATTAAGCCTCATAAAATATTGACTGTAGCTCGGCTGATCTGAAATTAAGCGAGTGGATCGAGTAACAGTCGACGGTTTGTTACCAATACAGTTCAACGGTAAAATTTGTAAATGATAATCATGTAAAATATGTGGCGCGTTAATAAATGCGTAAATTGTCTAATGGAATCGGATGTAATAATTTGCCAAAATTAACGTTGCGAGATGATTCGACCACGAACGACCAAATAATCGTGACATATATGATATAATTTTCAGGAAATTAACGTTGTTTCGGCGATTGTTTTAGCATATTATAAAACAAATAACGCTACTATATATATCAAATATAAAAAGAATAACTGAAATTTGTATTCAATATACAAATACATATTATATATTATATTATGTATATATTATATGTATATGTATA